TTCTTGCACCATGTTGTATGCTCATCAGTTTGGGAGTTGTTAGGCCTGGAAAGAGTCCCATGTATTACCCCATAAATACTTTTAGCCTTTAAGGCACATCAGGTCATTGTATTGTCCCAACTGGAACTCACAATAAACGACAAATGTTTTCGCAGTTTTCGTGATGCACTTTCAGTTTTTCACAATAGTTTTCCAAGGGACAAACCCAAAACGTTTTACAGAAGTTTTTATTCCACACGCACACGAATAACACTTTCCGGACAAGCGCGACTGGGACCGTAACCTGTTATGAACAGAGTACGAAATAAAATGCCCTTTTATGTGAGCTTGGGTCGCTTTTAATTGTGGAAAAACGGAAAAACTAATACATAAAATATGAAAAACAACAACAAATATTATTGGCGTAATGGCGACTGTCTATTGACAAATAAACAAGTGAAAATCAGAACCAACGTGCGAAACAAAAGTGTACATACAGGAGACCAAATTTAAATATCCAAGATTACAAAAATCTTAATAATAACATTAACAACCTAAAAAACAAGCAGGCTATAGAAAAAGCTATGAGAAATGCACGAATAAATCAGCGATATTATAAACATAATCAAAATAAATTGAAGAAATAACAAAAATGAAATTAGGAATCCATGAAGATACAAATGAAGTGAAGATCAAAAGAGGCTCAAGACAAGGCGATATAATATCACCTAAGATGTTCGCCCTAGTCCTCGAAGATGTGTTCAAGGAACTACATCATTGAGAACTACATTGACAAAATAGAGGGATACATAAATATGTCTGGAGAAAATCTCAATAGTTTAGGATGCGTCGATGACATTCCAAGAAGCCAATTCGAATTAGAAATGAACATATCTAGCTTGACATTGATAAGAGAATACGACTCGGATGGGCGGCGTATGGTTTAATGCGACACAAATTCCACAAATTATCTTTGACGCTAAAAACTAAAGTCTACAATGAATGTATTCTGCCAGTATTTATCTATGGAAGCGAAACATAGACTCTCATAACTCCCAAATAAGCTGCAAGTACATCAGAAAGCAAATGAAAGGAGGATGATAGGTAGGTAGTACACTGAGGGATCACAAGATCAACGACTGGATAAGAAATACAACAAAGGTCGAAGACATTACACATAGAATATGCACCAATGCATCCTTAAATGGAACTGAGCAATTGGAGCGAAAAAGTAACAAAATGGAGACCCTAGGGGGAACGAAGCAGTGGAGAACATGCGAATGAAGTTCCAATTTGCTTCATACAGCAGAATTAAACTTTCACAAAAATTTCTGAATGAAATCCTTAACATTAGTCAGCAAAGGTACAAGCCAATAAAAGAGGCACTGCCAAAGGGACTGACTGCATGCATAGAAAATTGGCCCAATCCTTAGCCACAGGTAAAAAGGGCTTTTAATCGTCTCAAATCTTTGTGAACAGTTTCCCAAAAGAAAGACTATCAAATCACGCGGAGAAATAACTGATGAAATAAAGGCTAACTGAAGCAAAACTTCTAACAAAAAGGATGCATGCTCCTTCTACAATATAATAAGATCCTTAACTCGAAAGAATATTACCGATGTTCTGGCTTACGCGGACAATTGTTTCCATTAGAATCTCATTACTGGTTCAAAGTATATTTGAATGTATTTAATCCAACATAGTGCTATTTTCTTGTAGAGGATTTTAAACTTTATACTTTGAAAATAGCTTTACTGTGCACTGTGCACTGACGCTACTTGGTCCCAAAATTAGAATCAGTAAAAGGCACACTTTTATAGAATTGTTTTAATAAAAACAAAATTGACATAGTAAACAGACATTTACCATTACGGTATTATAGCATTGTTATATTGCCAACTGAAAAATAATGATGCAAAACAAATATAATTGTGAAAAGCATGGCCTAGTGAGTGAGATTTGTTGATTTGCAGAGGCTATCTAAATTCAAATTTGGATTGTGTTTCTTGGAACCAATTATTATCAGTGTCACATTCGAATTTGAATGGACTGTTGTTGTTTTTACTTTGAAATATATTTTTGGTTCATATAGGTATTGGGAAACACATCAATTATTTTATGAGTTGATGTAAAATTTTCTTATTCTATCATCAGAATCGGTTCATCATTTTTAGTTCCGTAGACCGTAAATAGAATTGTCTTACAACTAATGTTTTCATGCTTACTTCTGAAATATGTCCTTTCTTATGACTGCCTTTTGAGATTGTAATTTTTTCACAACACGGCAATATGATGTCTCATTGTAATAATTACATCCATAATATAAGGATCATTTAGTTGATAACTGGTAAAGATCCAAATTAGAAGCTAGAACAGAAATAGAAGTCAGATAAGTATAAGCAGAGGGGTTGTACATGAAGGGATTAGATCAAAAATTACAGAGTAGTATAGTCCGACAAATACCATTTTAAAGTCACGTGATACTGGTGGCAAAAAACGTATATCCATTGATTATGTCGTTGATATCACCTACAAAAAGCTACTGGTGGTTAATTACTATTGAATTTTAATATATGTTCCCACTAGCATTCTACAAACGCGTTTCTGAAGTAGTATTGACCAATCAGAGGGCAATTTTAATACTTGCAATTGTTGCGAGACTCACTTTTGTTGCATCTGCTGTCTGTTGTAATACATTCTGAACTTAAACTTTGTACCCGTTTTCTATTTGCTTTTTTTCGAGTTGGAAAAAGGTTAATATAGTCAACATTATAAGCTGTGTTTGTTTGTTGTATTATTTTCGAAAATAACTTTGACAAACTAATTGATGACAGTGATTCTATTTCAGGTAAGAATATTATGAACAATAATTAGACAGCAATTTTTTTGTCAATTTTGCTATCACCGCTGTTTGAGATGTATTCAACAAGGATAGAGAAAAATGACGTGACTTTAAAATGGTATTTGTTGGACTATATGAACTTCCAAAACCTTGAAATGCATTACCACCATATCAAAGGGAGTATTCATAGTGCAGCATTTGCATTTGAAGCCCTAGGCAAATCCGAAAAAAATGGAATGGATACTTATTGGTGGGATCAAGAAATAGAGAAAGACATAGCAGATAAAAGAAAGAAATACCAACACTATCTAAATTCAAATAAGAAACGAGATAAAGAAATATGTAAACAAGCACAAGCAATAGTACGGAATAAAATATGTAGTAGGTACAGAAAAAAAAAAAAAAAAAAAAAAAAAACGAGTCATGGGAAAGAAACTGTGCGCTTATTAATACCTATCTGCGATGTAAAAGAAACTCAGAAAGTTGGAGATTACTGAAAAATATGAGGAAAACAAAAACCAAGGATATTATCAATACACCCCTGCAATGGGACGAGTACTTTGAAGAATTACTGACAGAACAGCGGACAGAGTTTAAAAAAGAAAAGCAACAGACACGGAACATAAAAACTGCAGTATCGTCGATAAGAGTTATGCAAGAAGTTAAAAAACACTGTAGCTTTTTGAAAAATGTTAGGGCCCGGGCACAGCTGAAATATATGGAGAAATGATAAAGTATGAGACCAATCAACTCTACAAACATTTAACAAAACTATTTCAAACATGCATAGATAAACATGAAGTACCGGAAGTGGCTACCGGAAATAGGCTATTTAACAACGATATGGATAAAAGAGACAGAAACAAATGCGAGAACCACCGATGAATTGCAGTAACAAATATACGCTGAGCAGAGTGTATGGAAAACTTATAAAAACCAGAATAGAGAACGAGTACATAAGATAGTGAGGAAGAAGACCAGGCCAGTTTTAGAGCAGGAAGATCAACTGTAGACCATTTATTCAGTTTGACCCAGGTCATGGAAAAGAAACTAGCGTATAACCAAGAACTCCATTTACTTTTTGTAGATCTAAAGAAAGCATATGACAATGTTCCGCTGAAAAAGCATCAGGAAGCACTGGAAAAGACCAATGTCAACTTAGAACTAATAAAGGAAAAAACGCTCTATGATCCCCCGATTCCATAATTAGATATAAGAGAAGAAGGATAGCAACGTGCTGTTTGCAGCTGGAAAACTTATCAATCTGATCCAAAAACGTATAGAATGGAGTTTGATATTCTTGGTGTGACTCAGGTCCATAGTGGAATATTCAAATCGAAGGGTAAAACGTTTTGTTACTCGGGCAGTGGTGACGCCGATCAAAATCATCAACGACAAAGTGTTGGTATTTTGATAGACGAAAACTTGGGAGATTCTAATGCCAAGGTTGACAGAGAAAGAATAGAACCTGCAGCAGGAGTCTACGGTCTTGGCGAAAGATATTGTCACAACCCCTATACGTTTCGGCCTGGGACGTCACAACAGGAGCGTGACTTGGGGGCGTAGGTGGTTCAGGTAGAGAGAAACTCGCTTGGTATTGGTATAAAAAGATGTGTATTGATTAATAATAGTATTACCCTAGAAATGGTATAATGACGTCTCTTCTACAAAGGGACGTACTACTTATTGGCCACTCTGTATTAATTATGTACCCTCTGTACACTTGGCGTGACTGAAGACTGAAACTAGGTTTGAGACAGGTCCAGAAGAGCGTTTCCCATTAAAGCTAGTTTGCACTGGACCTAGTCTGCGGCGTTCAATACTCCCAGAGGGGCGTTTCCCAATAAAGGTAGTTTGCACTGGGAGGAGACTTAGCTAGAGAGGCTTTTCGCATTGGAGATAGTTCGCACTAGCTTTAGTTTGCCGGTAATGGATTTCGGCGCTGTATTTATACCAAATAAATGCTGACTCGTCGACACACTTTAGTAAATTTGATGTACAGAGTGGTATTTACTTAAGTAGTTGACAATATGATAGAGAGCAGAGTTTAATTCGATATTGTGAAGAGAAAAATCCCATGATAACGGAAACGTAGTGCCACCTAGACGGCTTTATACATGGACATCCCCACAACAGAATGATAAGCATATCGCCCGTAATCAAAATCAAATAAATCACAATGAACAAAAGATTTAGGAACCTCATAACTAAGCTTACCATAATGCCAGTAGCCGATATCGAATCAGATCATAATTCAGTATACGGCAAGATCAAACTGGGACTTGCCAAACCTAATGGCGGTATATCAAAATGGTAATCGTCCCAAAATTCGAACAAACGAGACTGACGTACGAATACCAGTTAAATAGGGAACTAGCAGGAGTTATCGCTACACATGACAGAGAAAAACAGGCTCGAAATCAGAAAATGTTTTGAACATGCAAAATAAATCCTCCAAAAGAATAAAACAAGAACAAAGAACGAATGGATGATCGAAGCAAAATATTGGATATTAAACGGCAAATCCACAGTTCGAAAATTTGTACGAAAATCTTCATAATGTTTTAAAATCAAACCACCATCAATAATCCCATCAATTCGATCAATAATCCCATCAATTCCATCAATAATACCATCAGCAATAGTTAATCCTTCATCGCCATTCTCTTCTTCAGGTATAGATTTTGCAGTGCCTATTTTAGTGAAAGATGGTACTTTGAAATGCAGAAAATTAGTCAAAACATACATTCGTGTTTTTATTTGTCTTTGTACAAAAGCAAAACATTTGGAACTCGTGGGTGATCTATCTACCCATTCTTTTCTCAACGCGTTGAAAAGATTCATATCAAGAAGGAGAATTTGCAATGACATCTTATACTCTGATAATGGTTCAAATTCAAATATATTACAATCTGATTTAACAGCCAAAAAATTTTTATTGGAAAATCGTCATTCCACCTCGCTCTCCACTCACATATAAGAATCTATATACTATTCTTACCCAAATTGAATCCATATTGAATTCCCGACCTTTGTGCCCACTATCCAATAATCCTAATAATTTTAATACCCTCACCCCTGGACATTTCCTGATTGGACGACAATTGAATGCACTGCCTGAAGAAAATATTGAGCACATTGCGACTAATAGACTTTCAAAATACCAGGAAATCCAAAAAATTTTACAAAAATTTTGGGAACCTTGGTCCAACGAGTATCTCTACAATTTACAACAACGAAATAAGTGGATGATTGATGATTCGCAAGTTATCAAACCTGGATTACTTGTTCTTATTCGCGATGATAATGTATCACCAATGCTCTGGAAAACTGGTAGAATATGTGAAGTATTTCCTGGTAGTGATAACATCACACGCGTAGTATCGGTGGAAACTCCGCTGTAAACAGGCTATGTGTTCTGCCTATAGAGCAATAGTAATTTTCTTTGTGTACATTTGTGTCGTTTGAAACTTAGACATTTCAAGGCGACCGGTGTTGTTCTATATTTTGTAAATAAATCATAATTAAGTCAAAATAAAGTTTAAAAACATTCAAATCTTCCGCGCTTAACATAATTATTTGGAAGTTGTGGCAACATTGTGAACTACGAAATGGTACCGTTTATTGATCGCCTTCACGTTGAAGAAGGAGTCGACGAGCAGAAAAGGTACCAAAGTTAGTTAGCGTCCATGTCGGTAAGTTCAACCGAGCGCTGCTCGACTCAAACCTTATGTTTTCACGATTTCATGTTAAAAATACAGTCCACTTTCAAAGCAAAACTCAATATTTAAACCAGCAACGCATCATATACAACCAACATCAGTCAAAGTGGAAAATACTGGGTCCGCGCTACTTTTATCATACTACCAAAAGCATGCGAGGATTATCGTCTCATTAGTCTCATGACTCACTTTCTGAAGCTCTTTCTTTGAATTCTACACACAAGACTCTACAACAAGTGCGAAGCGGTTAGCCGGAACTAGTCAGTTTGGGTCTAAGAGCGGTTTCGTAACTAGAAATAAGCTATATTCAATCTGCAGACTTTGGTGCCAAATCGTCAAGATCAAAAAAAGGATGTCTTTATATGCTTTATTAATTACAGGAAAGCATTTGACAATGTTAGACATAATCTCTTGATATCATGTCTTGGGGAATTAGGACTTTGAATATTTGGGATGCATGCTGAATGAAAGATGGGGATCTGGAGAAAGAGATAAGAGGCAGGATAGAACAGGCAAGATCAACCTTCCTAGGACGAAAATTTCTCATAGACGGAAACTCTAGCTTTAAATTCAAATACATACTTCTATTTTCTACTTTGTTGAATAAACTATTTTTTCAAACGAAAGTTCTCCTTTTTGAAAGATTTTCTCGCTAATGTTCAATGCCCATATGAATCGTGCAATAGGTAGAAGATGAATTATAGATTTTGTATAGGCAAGATTTATCTTTGTAATCACTATCAAAATTACAAGACTCAGCCAGTTCTTTTGAACAAGCGATGTATGGTGAAATCGGCTCACTCTATGTTTAGTCGGGAGTTGCGTTGTTCAATAATTAATACATTTTTCTTGGGAAGTAGATGGTTTCTTAGTGGAGATATCATATTATTTTTATAGATTCTGTAGGTATATGACATTGGGGCAGATTATTTTGAGATGATAATCTGTGATATTTATTATACTACTCAAACAGTTGAAGAAAATCATCTCTTCTGCTCCGTTGGTTTCATTATCATTTTACGTTTAAAAATCCTCAGAATTATCGCAGGAAAATTGAATATCAAAACACTGATGTTTCTGTGTTTGTAATATCTTCTTGATTGCTTTTCGAACTACTCGATTGCTGAAATTGGAGGAATTGTACCAACCCAGTAGGTGTAATTATGAGAGGAGCTCATTCTTTCGGCGCCCTTGCTAAAGTGTACTTCTCATTGATCTGAACCTCATTACAACGTCTTGGTATATTATGGTGGGAGTCAAAATATTAAGATGAAAATAACTGTTTCAGACATATCTCAGAGTATTATCTATTGCCTCTGAAATACGCTGATAATAATTCTGTTAATTTACGATGTCTCGGTACTATTTTTTTTAGATTCACATTTTATCATTAATAAAAGTCAATAATTATTATTCTTTGTTTCAGGATGCGTGAATACGTGGAAGAAAACGAGAAAAACGATCCGCTAATTCACGCCCCGGACAAAAAGAACAACCCCTGGGCCGAAAAGGGCAAATGCGCCATCATGTAGAACTTCCAACAATGTCTACTGAACCTATTTATAATTTCGTTACCCTTTTTGATCGTAGTCTTACTCATAATTAAAGATTTAATATTTAACAGCACTACTTCACGACAAGCGATCTTCGAAATACTATTTTTCAACGTTCCAACTTTAGAAGACTTTTTTGATTACCTATAACCACCCTATAAGGAAAAACTAATTGTTACAATTAATTGTTATGTAGTTTGAATACTCAAAGAAAACAATGCATACTAGTACTTAAAACATGTGGAAAAATACTTAACATAATATATGTCGTACGTAGTGGGCTGTCTACTCAAAAAATTAGGTTTATTAATTTTAATACGTAAAAAAAAATTAATTAAATAGCATGGTAAAATAATAATTATTGTTTAAAACCAAAAAAAAAAAAAAAAAAACGCTCTTTTGTGGTATGTTAACAAGAAAAATATTAAAAAGAAATGTATGTGACATCCTTTAAACATATTAATAATCATTGTAAAAAGTTTGCTGTTAGTTCATTTTGCTATTTATAATACTTTAAAATGCCTTAAATGTTTTTAAAGAAACTTTTAAAAATACCTTTACCACCGCCTTCAGCATTTTCTTGACTCATTTTGCCATTTTGTAGATGTCAGCAGTTTGCCACCTCAGCGAGATATTGACGTTTGCAACTACAAAATTACTCACTCCATTTTCAATAACAACGTGGCAACATTGCTGAAATTCAGTTTAATGGCTCAATGTCTACATACTTTTTTGCAACCCATATTTTTGAGATTTTCTCTAAAAAGATGTTTGGCATTTTAAGTATTGTAGCAGTGTAAACCCATTCACTTTAACGCTAATTTAAATAGGTTTACATTGTTTATTTTTTCTATTTTTTTTATCATTTCTTAGGCTAATTCTACATTATAAATTTTATAAATCTAAAAGGTTAAAATTAGAGTAACGTCTAGTCATCAGAAATTACTGAAAACCTTTGGCAATTTTTCGATATAATAATATCTTAATAATATAAAAAGATTTCCTCTTTTAGGTCCTTAATAGATAGATAGATGCACTTTTTCTATCTAACCTTTTTCCTATAGCACCCTTTCCAAAAAACAAAAACAAGGATTAGACTATTACAATATCCAAATAGAACTGTACTTTAATTGTATTTGGATATTAAGTTTAAATAAAAAAACAATCAACGACAAAAATGTTAAGAGAGATAGAACACTACCAATTATTGTCATACACATCTGACAAACCCAATAACTAATTCTTATTCTAGCTTTAATCTGCTTTCAAGGTGTAATCATATTAAAATACTCGCGTTTTTCCATAATATGGTTACACTCCTATTTTTTGGGTGTAAACACGGCCATTGTAATGGCAATGTTTACACTTCCCATTTGCCCGGGGGTTCCCGGAATATATAAAAACATAAAACTGTCTAGAATAGACATCATGTTTAATCATAGAAATAAATATTAAGTGTTGACAACCCTGTATAATTGTATCGAATGCAGGGTCCTATAACTTAGTTATTGCTTAAACGGAGATTTGATGTAGATTAGGGCTAATACTAAAAACCATACAAGTTACCGAACTTAGATTAAGATAACTAAATAATTAAGTACCACCGATATTGACGAATTTTCTGATTAATGAAAAACTATACACTCGGCTTTGACAATTTATTTATATCGACTGATTTGCCGAAGGTTTCTTCTGTAATTTTTAATTTATTCGTATTTGCTGTATTCTACGGAATATTTCATGTATGTAATTTTATCTATTGTAATGTAATGTATTGAGATAATAAAGTCTAGGATACAATTTATTGTGGTTTTTGTTATCTGACAAATTACACCTGACAAGTTATGGTGCCAAAATTTTCGGGAGTCTAATCTTGATTTATAGGGAGCTGAACTTCCGTATCAAAAACTTTGAACCGAGTTCTCACGATCTTTATTACAGCTCATATACAGGGTGACACAAGGAATAGGGAACAACCTATAACTTTTTCAATATATAAGTTGAAAATTTTAAATTTGAGGAGCTTAAACGAAGCAACTCTTGGAGTTTTTTAGGAGTAAATTGCGTTACCAGTCATTTCCGGTTAAACCGGAAGGAGCCATAACTTTGAATTTTCAAATCGGACACCCGGTATTTTTTGAGTTTTCTGGCATCAGCAGATCCTTTTGCGTATGATAGGACCATTTTTGAAAGATTGATAACAAAACCAAAAAAAAAATTGCATTTAAAAATAAAGATTTTTCAAAAGTTGTTGGGTTATTTCTCAGCGGATTTTAAAATTGTTGATATTAAAAAATAGGGGAAAAAATCTAGTTTCAAAAAATTGATAGGTCCCAGCGTGGTTACATTTGAAAAAAATGGAATACTTTGAAAAAACCTCTTTGTTTAATTTTGATCTGAAATTATGGCGTTCAGTTAGCAAAAAATTGAAATTACAAATTTTCCTGATATTAAGAATATCCAACTAAATCAATTTACACCCGTGGCAGCGCCGAATTTTTTTTTTCTGAAAATTAGGTCAATTTATTTTCTTTGGTTGAAAATTTTCCAAAAATAGTCCTATCATACTTAAAATGATCTGCTGATGCCAGAAAACTCAAAAAATACCGGGTGTCCTATTTAAAAATCAAAAGTTATGGCCACTTTCGGTTAAACTAGAAGTGACTGGTAACGTAATTTACTTCTAAAAAACTCAAAAAGTTGCCTTGTTTAAGCTCCCCACATTTCAGATTTTCAACGTATATATTAAAAAAGTTATAGGCTGTTCCCTATTCCTTGTGTCACCCTGTATACAAGGTGTCCGGAAAATAGCGTAAAAGCTCTCCAGTACGTAGTAGGGGATCCTTTGAGTAACCCTGGAAAGATAATTAAAAAAATCCTTCTCGACCATTCTTGGAAATATGAAGAGGTAAATGTGAAAATTCAACTTCGTCATTTTTGATTTTTTTTTAAATTGCAATATTTCGTAAAAAGTGTTAGGTATCTTTTGTTGATTCGTTACATTATGGTTTATGAAAATTTGTAATTTGTTATTAACTTTTGAAACGCATTATGAAAATTGCAAAATCTCTAAATTACAACAGGAAAATTTGATCTGACAACATTTTTCAGTCACCTTCGAATTTTTCAGGTAACTACATAGGTATTTAATTTAATTCTGTGACAGGTTATCAACAGGATATTTTCAGTGTTGCCAATTTTAATGAACATTAAAATGGTAATAACTTTCTTAAGAATGCCACCAGATTTTTTAAATTATTTTTCTGCGGTCCCTTGAAGGGTCCTCCACCTTCAAAACTGCTTAAGCCGCGTGCACACAATTCGGAATCTGACAGTTTTCAGGCATGCGCAATTCAACAGTGCTATTGGCAATGTTGCCAGATTTCCCAGTTTTGCGCTACACGTATAGTCTTTCTGTTATCTTAAAAAGAATGTCTCATTTATTTTTATTGCAATGAATTGGGCGTGCCAAATTTGACTGTTGATGGTCAAAAAATAGAAAAATATACAGGGTGTTTCCTAAGTACGGTTCGTAACTTCAAAATGTGATTCCTTACGATATTTTAAGACAAAAAGTTCCCGTAAACATGTGTCCGGAAATGCGTAGTTTCTGAGATACAGGGTGTCAAAGTTTTAGAAAAAATAGTTTTTTTAGCTCAAAAATCCATATTCCAATTTTTTTTTCAAATTTGGCAGGTTTGTTTGTGATAACGAAAGGTATCTTTTGACTGTAACATGACTTGCTTAATCTGTAAAAATTATCAAAGGTCTTAAAAAATAATGAATTTTTTTCTACTTTTACCAAAAAAACCCTGTATATTTTTCTATTTTCTGACCACCCTGTACATGCTATCTCAAGTTTTAATAGTTTTATCTACAAGCGTTTGGTTATGACGTTTTTACATAACTATTTTTCTAGTATTTGAGTTGTGTCATGAGACTCATAACCCAACTAGTGGTGTTATATACTAGGTTATGAATAATTCATAACACAACTAGTGGTGTTATGGACGAGGTTATAAATCTATAACACAACTATTTTTGGTGATTTGACAAATGTCAAAGGTAAACCTGTAAAGGTAAAATGAAGGTAGACAACTACTAATAAACGGAAATAATTGAAAAAACATTCTTATTTTTCGCTTTGTAGACAAAACGTTGTACATCACACGTGCGTTTAAACATGACTACAAAACTCGAGTGATATCTTTCACACTCGTTATTGTAATCATGTTCATTAACGCACTTGTAATGTAAATAACTATAATACTATTTTTTCAAGAAGCAGAAACTTTTATAAAGAACAACTTTTTTTCGTAAAATTGATAATAAAAAAATTTCCCATATGCTGCGAACTTAAGTGGACACACTGTATATATACAGATATAGTTTCGCAACCAAACATAGAAGCAAAAAATCATCTCCTGATTGAATACCCAAGTAACTAAAAGAAGTGTCAAAGAAAGGGAGCCAATAATGAAAATTAAAATAAAGCAAAAAAAGAAACCAGACAAAAACAACGAAAAGGCAAGCATAAGTAAGGCTTAGTGCTCGGCCAAAGGGCAAACCTTTACAACAGGGCGTTGTTAAGTTCCTGATTGGGTTCTAAGGGTAACAACACGCACAACATTGCCAGGGTGAAGTTGCATCACTCGGGGGGTTTTTGTTCGTTTTTTATGAGGACTAACGCGTTTTCCTTTAAGGTAGGGACTGATTTCTTCCATTTACTCCGGGTTTGTAAGGTATGAAGGTATTCCTGTGTCCACCTTTTCCAGAAATCCGATTGCATCCGCTGCAGGAGTTGCCAGCGGGTCAACCTATTAAGGGGAATTTCACAGAGATCAGGTTCTGGAAAAGAAGTGATGGGTTAACAAGTCAGGAAATGTCGCGGAGTCAGGGGGGTAAGATCATTAGGATCTTCGCTAATAGGGCACAGAGGCCGTGAGTTTAATAAACTTTCGATTTCGGCAATTAGCGTG